TACATTTATCACACCATCAAATTACCGTATTCTACCATACGTAAGCCGATGATTATTTGACAGCTTTTCATTTCTGCAGACCACAAAATCGTGGAGAAACAAGTTCGTTTGTTTTTTGCTAATATTTTTGGAGATCGGCTTGTATGGGGACTTTTGACTGGATAAATTTGCTATTGCAGTTATACTGTCCGCAATTAAAATGTCGACTTTTATTCGGTAATATACGATAAGTCAATTGTTGGAGTACCGCCGTGTTTATTGGCGACCCACTGCAGTCGTGTTCCTACACATCAAAGAGCTTTCGATTCGGTTGCTCGATGTGCCCGAATAATATGTAAACATTATCAGATCGCTTTACACGCATAGTTCGGACAGCCTGAGCGTTTACGGCAAACCGTCGCCGCCCTACAATATCTCCAACGGTGTAAGACAGGGATGCCCGCCGCCACCTTTTCTTTTTAACTTTTGCATCGATAAAGTCATGAAAACTGCGTTCACTGAACACGATCTGCAAGGCGTGGAGCTGCTGCCTGGTGAGCGACTTCTTGACTTGGAGTGCGCCGACGACGTTGTCCTTACCCATGACAGTTTCCAGACTTGCCACGTATCACCGGACAAAGTAGCTCTGCTGTCAGTCGTTTCGGGCTATTCTTTGCACCCTCGAAGTGCAAAGTCCTCCAAGATTGACAAGGGCCCACCCCCGCGCTGACTCTTGATGAGGATCAGCTTGCAGTCGTCAAGAAATCCAGGTATCCAGGCAGCTATAACAACGCCAATGGAATGGTGTGTATCTATGTAATCTCAACTGTCTAGCAACTAGACATAGAGCCAATGAAAACCATGGAGATCAACGGATACGAGGAAGTCATCGCGTCATAATGATTGTGACACAGTAGTTGAAGGTGAGCAACACACTTCAGCTACTATGCTGCAGGAAGAAAGGACCATTTTGACAAAAAGTAAAACAAAACATTTTTTAGTTCGTTTTCACACTCCGATTTTTCTCTTTTTGTCATTTTCAATGCTTGCAGTATTAAAAATGTGAATCAGTACCATTCTGTGCACAATTTTTCCACTGATTCCGCTTGCGACCATGTCTTCAAGAGTGTTAAGCCATTGGCACTCCTCATCTTTGGGTCCCCATCCTGGAAGACGTACGGGTCCAACAGCGGCTCGACACGATGTCAGCGATTTCATGTGCTGTTGCAAAGTGGAGGGCTGACCATCACGCGGTCGCCTCCAGCTAGGTCCTTGACGAGCGAATAGTGCGCAACGCGGTAAGCGCTCAGGTACTTTGCGTAGGACGTGACCGAGTCATCTCAACTGGCGCAGCAAAACCAGTTTGTTGAAGGGAATACTCGCATTCCCCAAGATGCGACGTCGAACGTCATTACTGTTATTTCGATGTTGCCATCAAACACAAGCAATCCTCCTTAAGCAACCGTTATCGGAGGCAGAAAGATGACGCATGCCTTCCACTCGAATAGGCCAACACTCGCACCCATACAACAATACTGAGCTTATTGATGCGCTGTAAACGCGGCCCTTTAGCGAGAATGAAACGTCGCGACACCACAAGTGACTCAGATTGACACATCCTGATCGAGCTTTAGCGATGCGAACAGAAACTTCTTTGCTGATAGTGCCGTCAGCAGAAACGCAGCTCCCAAGGTAGACGAAACTCTCTACCTGTTCAAGTTATGCACCAAGAGTGAGCACGGGAGCAGGTGAAAGCCCATTCCTGAGCAGTACTTTACACTTCGATGGGGCGAAGCTCATGTCATAGAAGCTTCAACCGCCAAACGATCTAGCATGAGTTGCATACCCTGAGGATCGTCACCAAGTAAGGCGATATCATCAGCATAATTTAAGTCGGTCGCGCGCTCTCCCTTTAGAAGCTCTTGGCCAAAATGTTGGAAACCTAGAGCACTCGACAGAGCGTCTACGATTGCGAACTTGAAGAGGAATGGGGACATAGGCAGCCCTGTCGCACACCGCTATTGACAACAAATTGCAAAGAAAGCTTGCCATAGGCCCTCACTCTGCCGGATGTATGAAGGTAAAGTGCTCGTAAGCTGGCTGTATATTTCTCTGATACCCCGTTCTTCAACAAGCAACGCCATAAAGCAGATCGATCAACGGAGTTAAAAGCGGCACGTATGTCTGGAAATGCAACGATAGTGAGCCTGTGATAAATGTGGCGATGTTCGAGGAGTTGGCGGAGCCTGAAAATTTGATCCACCCATCCGCGGCCGGGATAGAATCCAGCTTGTTCTTCATGGTAGGATAATTCACGTATTGGGGATAGTCTACGGAGCATAATGGATTCCAATAACTTGGAGGCAACCAAAATAAGACTAATTCCGCGATGATTTACACATGAAGTGCGAGCACCTTTCTTGAAAATCGGGACAATAACTGATTCGCCCCAAAAAGAAGGTACTTTCTCTTCATGCCAGATTTTTGCGAACAGTGAGGTCAGCTGGTTAATAATCGTCACGCCGCCGTACTTGAACAACTTCGAAGCAAGTCCGTCTGAGCCGGCAGCCTTGAACCACTTCAAGCGTCGAATTTCGTGGCAGACTTCCGCTTCGCTGGGTGAATTCATTGTGACAAGCCAGGTTGGACAACGAGGTGTACTGCATGTACTGATGGACGGTGGAGGCCAGTTGAACTACATGTGAAAGTGCTCGGTTCAGCGGTCCATACATCTCTGTTGGTTGGTGATCGGAGACTCATCCACCTCGCAAATAACCTCACTGACACCAGGCTTCCTGAGGCCGGTGGACCGAATGAGTTGGAGAAGCTTGCGAGTATTGCCAGAGGGGGCAGCGGTCTCCATCTCTAAGGCACGCTCAGACCGCCATGCTTCGCGATCCTTGCGTAGGCTTTGCTTGAGCAGCCTGTCGGCAGAACGGCTCGTTGCAATCTGATTCCGCCGGGATATGTTTGCAGCATTCTAACAGCTCCAGAGGACGAGCTGAGGTCCAAGCTTTTAAGGGGTGTCGAGCTAGGCCGCAGCTTGACTGTCCGGAAATGGTCGTCGCTTTCTGTATACAAGTTCATTGTTGCTCTACCTCGCGGTGGATTGCAACTGAGTGTGTATGCTGGTGAAGACTGATAGCTCGCCTGGACAGAGGGATCAGTTAATCTGTTTACATCACTGTTGCTGTGCTTTGTGTTTCGGGCGCCACCGAAACACATGCTGATTTTCGCGCAGACCCGTGCATGATCTGAGTCAATGAAGGTGGACCAAAAGGACCTACAGTCCAGTACGCTGCCACGGCATCCAAAGCTAATTGCAATGTGATCAATTTGAGACCACGGTTGTGTTGGCGAAGGGGGACGCCACGTTGCGAAGCGCTTCTTCATACGCATGAAGTTAGTGCTTGCGAGAAACAGATGGTTATCTTCGCACAATGTGAGAAACCTCGTTCCGTTATCCGAGCCGTTCTCATCGAGCGCGTGATGACCACCAAGGTGCTGTTCGTATGGTAACTGGCGGCCAACCCGTGCATTAAAATCCCTAACAAGGACAACGACATCAGACTTTTTAGCATTAGTCAAGGGCTGATGTAGATCTCGGCAGAATTTGTCCTTGACCGAGGCGCCACTGCAGTCATTTGAAACGTACACGGAGATCACACAAGTTGCGTCTCTCTTCGCTGCGCTTGTTAATTCTACATGAACCCCGAAGCCCAACTTCCCATAGTCGGCTGTTAATCGGGAACCAGTCCAGTAGTGCTGCTTTGGCCTTGCCATTTGGTGCTATACCTACACCAGCCAAACGCGCTGAGGCTGTTTCTATATCTTCAGAATGGCGCAAATGATATCTAGCTTTGTGGTTAGTGGGGAATGTCAATGTAAGCAGAGTGCTGGGATCTTGCAATCGAGTTTCTGAAAGACAGCAGACATCAATATCGAGGGACTCTAGGGTGCGTGTTTGATCAGTTTGCTATCCAATCTGCATGTGTCCGAACCTTGAAGCACACCAGACTGAACGAGGGTTGGGGACGAAGAAGAGCCATAGACTGAACTCTGTGGTTCGCGGCGCAACCGGAATCGCAGTCAGGTTGTTGAACACATGAATCGGGTAACGAAAAGTAAGGATTGCTAGCAGACAAACAATTGGCGTGTGATTAACTCGTGTGAATGATAGAAGCAGAAGCAGAACTGCTCGTGGTGCTTTTGCCAATCTCCGCCACATGTGGCGCCGGAGTGACATCACTCTCGCCCTGAACGGTAAAGTTTACAATGCAGCCGTTCGTTCAGCCCCCCTTTGCGGTTGCGAAACGTGGCCCATCAAGTCGATAGACATAAAGAGGCTAGTCACCTTCGATCATCGCTGCCTTCGCAGCTTAGCTCGTGTCTGGTGGGAGCACCCCGTGAGCAAGGAATAGATGAGTGCATGAATGAATATGTTCGGCGTTGTGTGTTTGATTCAGGAAGAGAAGTGAACCGCTCGGCACGGTTATACCACGCATCACGCTCCTGTGGATTGTCCACGTATTGCGCATGCCAGCCCTCTGACTCTCGCGGCGTGCGTCCTTTGCATGCTCGGGGTTTGGATGGTAAAAGAGCAAGTGTGGCCAAGCGATGACGCTCAAGAGGAATAAAATCACTTACTTCGAAATTGGCGTTGTTTGGTGTGTCCCGACTGCTTGACCGGGGCCCGAAGGACGATAAACACGTTTGGTTGGATACACTAATTGATATGGCAAGGAGCCGACATCAGTGGTGTTTGTGTTGTTTCTTTGGCCCTTTCTATCTCGCTTAGCTTCTCCCTTTTAACCACGATCTCTCTTGGCGCATTATATACAACTAGTATGTTACTTTTTGCGTTCTTTACTTTTCAATAACTTACTTTTTCGTGTGTGTTGTCTGTATGCATTTCGGCACAGCAGTTGGAGTGTGTAATGGTGATACTGCGGATGATGAATGTGGTTACCGCTACACCTGGATGTCTTTGTCGACTTTATCACCTACACTAATTTGTTTTAGCTCTCCTCGTGCGGTTTTCCCCATTTCCTGAAATTTAGCTTGTTCCTCTAGTGACTTACCAACTTTGCAACTGAACTGGCAGTGCTGCTTTATACATGCAATCTTGGAATATTAACCTCGAGGAACTGGAATCTTCGTTTACTGCAACTGAGGTGACAGCACATTTAAACATTTGGTATGGTGCATCGTATGACTTGAGCATTTTGCAGTCATTTGAAAACCGGAAAGAATGCGTACGATGGGACAGTGGAACCAAAGGACCACCATATTGCTGCAAAGCGACCCCGAAAAGAGAAGAAATTTCAAACGGTTACGCTTAGTTCCGGGCAGGGTTGTCTTCACGAGGCACGTTTTCTTCCAATCCAACTATTCTATTACAGGTTGTTTATCGAGCGGGAGAGCTTTTGAAGCCTCTGGTTCCTATCTCGACACCTGCTCGTATCTACCCGTTCACCTTAGATTCCTTCCAACAACAAGCTATTCTCTGCATTGATAACGGACGCTCCGTACTAGTTTCTGCCCACACTTCAGCCGGTAAAACGGTTGTCGCGGAGTGAGTTTCATCATGTCACTTGATCTCCGTCTTCACAGATACGCAGTGGCTCGAAGCCTGCAAGCAAAACAGCGTGTTATCTATACAACACCCATAAAGGCCTTGAGCAATCAGAAATTCAGGGAATTTACTGACGAATTCAAAGATGTGGGACTAATGACTGGCGATATAACGATTAATCCGGAGGCTACAGTTCTGATTATGACTACGGAAATTCTAAGATCCATGCTCTACCGGTAAGTTCGCCCCAGCTTAGCAGTCATCCTGAACAAACATTCTCATCTTTGGTCATCGAACTACAAGAATATTCTTCACCTACCCAAGGATATGCTTGATCGCTACACGCATGCGTGTTTTTGTGTGGGGTACTTTTGAGCCACAAGTTGACATTCTAGCTCCTTCGAGGACTGCGGACTCGTTCGAGTTGCTGTTTTGCGGCATTCTTACTGCAATATATGCTTCAGGACGGACAAGCCCTATAACGAAAAATTCAGTTCGCTTCACCCGAACATTTTAAAATGATAGCAATGCAGCCTTTGCCTTGGTGATTTTCACACCTTATCATGTGATTCCTCGTGAAAATGGGTTGGTGGTTGACAACTATCAGTCCCGAGGCACCTCTTCATTATTCTATGTGGTGAATAGAGTGGCTAGACCAACCGTCTTTCAGCCATGAATGGGAATAGTAGTGGGACCATGTTATTTTTAACAGGGTGGGCGCACGTCGAGCTCATTCCAGCCTTGGTGTCAAATCAACGCCTCATGTAAGTTTAGGTTGTTCAGCAACATACTGAGTGTGTACTGTGCTGGTGGATCACTGCATTAGTGGATCCGCGAGTTTCTAGTTAGACGAAACTGCAGCGTGCACCTTGATAGCCATTTAACCGACTGGTATCCCTTTAAAAGTGACGTCCACCAGGGCACGGTACTAGGGCCTGCATGGTTTCTGTTCTACATTAACGATTTATCTCAGCTTTTCCGGTCGTTTGCAGACGACATGAAGATGCGGAGAGTGATTAGCACCACCAATGACCGCGACTTACTTCAACAGAACCTCAATCGCCTTTCCATGTAGTTTGCAGAAGTCCATCTCCCGTCAACCCATTCAAGTCGATATTCATGAGTCTTGGGGGGGGGGGTGGTGGTGACGGCCGGACCTTCACCATTGACGGTCAACTGCTGCATCTCACCCCTTCCTTGAAGGACCTTTGCGTATTCTCGCGCTGCGATTTCTAGTCCGTGGACAACACTAACAGGCTACACCAAACCGGACGGCGCATGCTTTTGGCGCTCAAACGCAGTTTTAGCACTTAGTATAAAGATGTCTCCACTCCTCTTCTATGCAATCATAAGGCAAATAATTGAGTACTGCTTGCTCGCCTGTTATCCGTCCAACCGAGGCGAAGCGCAAAAGATTGGACGGGTCCAACACGTCGGTACCAGGCGTATCCCCAGTTTACTGTTTTACCGTACGAAGATAGGTACTAAAAACTGTTTCTGTACACCTTGTCCTCTTTTCGGGTGCAAGTCGACCTCACCATAACTCACCGCATTCTACATCTAGCTGACCTCCACATGTTGAGGTCAAAGTCCCACTTGCGAACACTACCGCAAACACGGACGCAGGTACAAATCTATGGTGCCAGAATTGAACGGCGTATGGTCGATAGGAAACAGTTTACTGGAGCATCTTGTGGAAGTAAACACAGTGCAGCACTTCACAACATTGTTAGATGTACCTTTCCTCACTGTTAGATCCCGAACACGATTATCCACTGACAGTAATCTCTCACATTTGTGAGTCCCAATTTTCTGTTAGTCACACGTGAAAACTTGAAAAACGATAAGTGTCGAGACCTCCCAGGTAGTTTATGTTTTCCTAACCTCTTTCATATTTCGATGAAGTTGCTCAGTTTCAGGTTTCTACTTGATACAGTATTCCGTATTTTCCATCTATTATCTTAATAACTTGTTTTTTGAACGGGCGTTCCGTATGATTTGGTACAGAACTCGGCTGTCTCCAGTCACACTGGTCTGCTCCGTCTCATAGTCACTTGTCACTCATCAACGCTCCTGGTCAATTCTAAAACCTGGTAAATAACTCCATATTCTTACTGGCACTGGGACCGAGTATCCAACGAAACTAGCTCACCTGTTTTTAGCAAACGACCCGACCTTTCATTGACCAATCCACGGCTCTGAAGTTTTGCGCTGGACAGAGGAACAGCTTCAAAAGCCTTCAGCTTGGCACATTTACGGTGGTTCCAATCAGTACTCGGTTCATCCAGCTAGTTCGTCAGTGGCAGCTAATCGGCCAGTTGTCATCGACATTGCTGAATGGCGGACCGTTTGTTTAAGTAGGCAGTAAGCACCCTTGGAGTTGGTCATTTTACTGAAGCCAGAAGAGTAACTGCTGCATTTGCTCGCACTAACGCATTCTTGGAATCCATGCGCTTACTTCTTCCCGACCTGCACCCTTGTGCTGCAGTGTGCTATCGATGGCTGGTTCTAGGATATTTTTGAGCTCAGTGGGCAACAAGTAAAGCAGTAAAAGCGATTATGTCGAAAAGCAGTGCTTCTACTGTAAAGCCTTCATCCGGCTTACGTTTGAAGATACCGACATACATCGACCCAGGAACGGCGTCTTATGCTTTCTGGAGTCTAATAACCTACACACGCTTGCCTATATCTGTGTCAATGATAATCATATTGCTTTTCTTCACCATACGGACAGGAGATCACAGTTACCAGTAAAATTCCTCTGATAACATGCACTGCATCAGTTAAAGAGTATAGCGCTGATTTAACCCTCCTGGAGGTCCGGAGTCGAGCTGCACACATACGGTCGGTCATTGGATTTCTTTGGATTAATTTCCCATTAGCCTATCTACTGAGGTCAATACCCACATCACACCGGCTTCGAGTCATTGACTAGTCAGCTGCGAATGCGCAAATGTGCAATCATCGTGGATACTTGCTGAACCAAGTAATTGACCGCCCATTGCGACGCTATTTTTATGTATATATCTTTCAGGGATGCTGCATCGATCACATCGTTACTTCGATTGTTGGAGTATTGCTATATCTATTGGCGACCCGCCGTAGTCGTTTTTCTCGACATCAAAAGTGCGTTCGATTCGGTTGATCGATGTATACTTTTGGACTGCTTGTTCAGGAAAGGAAATGCGTGAACATCATCGGTGCGCTGTACGCGCATACTTCGGGCAGAGTGAGGATTTATGGCAAACTATTGCCACCCTTCAATGTCTCCAGCGATGTGGGACAAGGTTGCCCACTGTCACCTTTCCTCTTCAACTTCGCTAATGACGAAGTCATGGAAACAGCGTTTGTTAGACACGACTTACAAGGGTTGTAACTGCTTCCTAGTGAACGACTTCTTGATTCGAAGTATGCTGACGACATTGCCCTCAGATATGACAGTTTTCAAACTTGCTACGTGGCACTGGACAGATTAGCGCTTCCTGTCATTTGTTTTGGGCTATGCTTTGCTCCATTGAAATGCAAAGTCGTTCTCCAAGATTGGTAGTGCCCCACCTCTTCGCTAACGCTTTGTTGTGATCAGCTAGAATTCGTTCAGGAATTCAAGTACCTGGACAGCTATATTTGCGCCCATATGATTGAAAATGAGGTCACGAACGGCATAGCCAAGGCTCGAGGTGCTTTTGACAATCTCCGCCACCTGTGACGACGACGCGTTACTTGCGCCTTGAAGGGCAACGTTTAAAATGCAGCGTTCCATTCAACCCTCTTAAACGGTTATGAAACCTGGCCCATCAAATCGACAGACATAAAGATGCTAGCTACGTCCATCCATCGCTGTCTTCGCAGCTTAGCTCGTATCTGGTGGGAGCACCGCGTGAGGTATGAGCGTGTTCGGGGTCGCGTATTTGTTGTGGGAGAGCGAGGGATCCGCTCAGCACCATTATATCACACACCAAGCTCCAATGGCTGGGACACGTGTTGCGCATGCCAGCCCACCGACTCCCGCGACGTGTGTTATTTGTGCTCCCGGGGTCTGGATGGAAGAGAAGGAGGAGAGGTCAGGAAATAACTTAGTCAAGAAGAGTGAAAACTCTCACTTCGAAGTTAGCGTCGGTTGGTGCATCCCAACTGCATGGTTGGGGTCTCAAGGACGATGAACAAGTTTAGTTGTTGATGCGTTGGACGGAGATAGCACAACAGATGGAATAACTCGGAGTAGGAAGTATACGCTTTACTAATCCAACAACGTAGGTGCATCAGCTGAAAGGTAAAAGCGTTAATTATGATTTGACATGTACAAGGGGGCAAGTATATGCATACAACATTCACCCCAGCCGGAACATGGAAGAGATTTTTAAGAATGTGGTTTACAAGGAGAAAATCCATAAACTAAGCCTCCCTAATTTGTAAATAGTAAGGATGTGTTCTCTGTTGCTGACTTAGACTATCGGAATGAGAATGTGGACGAAGCGAAGTGCGGTCGACATCGCACGAATAGCCATTCTCTGAGGTTTCTGGTGTCGGGTTGGTGCATTGTCGGTTTTAGTAGTTTAGGGGGTACCTGGTGACTCCTGACTTTCAGGTGGTAAAACAGGAAGATCGTCTCGAGGGGCCACCCGACTGATAGAGACATTTTCTTTTCTACCATCAGGTTACCGTACACGAGCGTAATGAGGACTGCAGCTGATGAAGCTGACTTTCTTCATCAAACGTTCGTATTTTGAATATCTGTCCATTTGGTTGAGTAAGACCGAGCTTGAAACGGTCAACCTGGATGGAATGGAAGTTCCGTTAGTAGACCGTCGATCAAAGCAGAAAAGACGTTCATGGGGTGTTATAATTTTCTCACTAGACTCGATTCCAAAATTGACACTTTACTGATCCACAAAACTCCTAACCTAACCGAAAGAAAATGCAGAACGCCAATGACCTTGATAAAATAACTTAATAATGGCCGTCAACAAACACTGTACAACTACCGTGGACCTTGGCTCTATTTACAGGTTTCTTACTGACCTTCGACTTCGAGAATTGGAAGGTCAACTACCAAGGTTAGTAGTTCCCCGTATCTTTTGCCGAGGTGCCAGGTGGTTTTTAGTCACTGCAGAAACTAGAGCATCCCGGAACTTCGAAATTGATGCGGCAATCGTTACTAATCAATCAATCGCTGAAATAGTGGATTTCCTAAGCAATTCTTACTTTCTCTTGGACACTTCCCCTTCTGCGATGTCGTCTGAGGTATACGACGAAAACTTAGGATTAACTTGCAGTCTTCGGGACGGTGTTTTCTGCCTGTCGGTCCATCTCCTTTGACAGAAGTGCCCGAGAACTCTGTTCCAGTGTCCGTGTTCTGTATTCTTTGCTCGACTGTATGCATTCATCCACCGCTTTCTTCGGCAAGTTGAAGCTTTCTACCAATAAATCGAACGGGAGGTCAGTAGACCTTCCTTGTTCTAGTTGGCACACTGTTGACCGTAACTGGTTCGCATGCCTTGCCCAGATCTGTGTGCCCACCATCACGTCATACATGACGTTTCCGCGCTTGCTTTTGACCGTCCCTGGCGATCCTTTCGCATGATCTTCCCGATAGTCACGTACTAGCATTTTCTGTCCAAGCGCAAACCATCGATTCTTTGCTCCATGCCGCCGGTTAAAATCCTGTTTCATTCTGCGGTTTCTTTCACCAACAGAGGGCTCCGAGCGCGGTCGGATGGCCTCGAAAGGCATACGGAGTTTCCGGTTCATCATAGCCTGTGCTGCAGAAACTCCGTCTGGCGCTTGTGGATTCGGTGTTGATCGGTAGAGAAAATTGAACCGGTCAACCACCTCCTCTATACGTCCCACCTCTTTTGATTTGTGGAGTGCTCGCTTGAATGTGTCGACAAACCTTTCTGCCTGGCCATTCGACTGTGGGTGAAACGGCGGCGAGCGAATGTGCTGGACGGCGCATTGCTTGCAGAACTCCGTGAACGTTGCCCAAGTGAATTGTGTGCCATTGTCAGTTACAATTGTCTCATTTTGTGGAGTTTCTTGACCGCGTACACTATGGCCAATGCTTCTTTCTCGATCATGCTGTAATTCCTCTCGGCCTTCGTAAGTGTTCTGGCGGAATGAGCGATTGCTTTCTGAGATCCGTCGGTGTACGTGTGTGAAAGTACTGCGCCAATCCCATGGCTTGATGTATCTGTGGTTAGGGCAATCTCTTTGGAGGGATCAAAATGAGTCAAAAGCAAGTTTGAGGACAGCAATGTCTTGACCCGTTCGAAGGCATTCTGGCATTCTGATGTGCAGTTTCAAGTTTGGCCTTTGGCTAGTAGCTTGTTTAACGGGGCACGCAGATGCTGCATCTCAAGCAAGAATGCGCTTTAGTGGCTGATAAGGCCACAAAAGGAACGCAAGGACTGTAGATCTGTTGATGGAGACATTTTTCTAATGGCTTCTACGTTTTTCCGGATCTGGTCGACGTCCTTCCTTTTCGAGGATAAAACCGATCTTTTTGATGATCGGCTTGAAAAATATGCATTTATCCTCACGGATCCGGAAACCGTGCATTTGTGCTCTGAATTTCTTTGTCCGTCCCTATCTACTTTAAATTCCCCCTCCCATTACGATCTCATAGCAAATTAAGAATATGCTATTTACTATCATATTGCTTGCTTTTCTGAATGTTTTGTTATGTTATGTTTGGTATCTTATCTTTTTGTATTGCGGCACATTAGCTGAGACGTGTTTCTCACCCTCAGCTATCGTGCATTGAATGAGAATGAATTCGGGGACACAGTGCACATCAATTCCAAAGGACTGAAGGGTGTGAGTTTGCGCTACTTGTTAACAGAGCTGAGCTGAATTTCGAATGCTGAAAGCTCCGTTGCGACATATGATCCGCAACCTGGATGTCAAGGTGGATACCTCGCAGTGTCAATGATAATTGGTTGCTAATTAACTTGCAACGATCAAATTTTACGAGGGGAGAAAGGAATACTTTCGACAGGGTCTGCCGAATAAACGGTCCTCTCCGATTGCTCATCCCGTTGTAGGAACTTTGTTTTTAATGCCCTACTTCTACTCTTTTATCAATTGTGGGCCCCATAAGGCGATTGCTTAACTACTTTGTATCTGCGACTTCATCCAGTACCTTTGTTTCCTTGATTTCATGGATGAGGCACTATAAACATGTGCAGCTCGATAGTATGGCTATAGATTGCCATTGTGATGTGCTTGAGGTCTGCCACGTGCAGCTTTATACTATACAGACTACTAGTCCTTTTTAATGGTATGGGAACCTACACCTGTAAACACGGCTAACCACCGTCTGGATTTGGTTGCCTGGGTTGGGGAGGCGATAGCAAACCAGTGGGAAGGATCGATTTCTTTCCATCGTAAGAGCCAACTCATTGCGCTCATGCTTTGCGTCAATCGAGTCTAGCTGATGACACAACTGTTTCCCCCATGGCTAAGTTTTAATGACAGGGGGCCAACGATCGGCCCCCAGAGGATATAGGATGTCGAGACTGTGTTTAACTGACATCTAACTATTATCTTGTTATAAGTTACCCTGGATCACATATAAAATGCCAACAAGTGCGGCCTAATGATTCTTTGAGGTACGCAAGCCATCGCATCACTTGAAGATTCAGCTTCCTCAAGGAAACTGTTGCATCGCTTAACATTTGTACTTGACACTGCTTATCGTTCTTGTCGACCGTGAACATCGATTTTCTGATGTCCGCTTTCTTGACTGATTACATGAGTTGCTCCCCCAATGAATCAATAATTTCTTTGTGGTTAGCCAAGCTGCTTTTTGTTTTATCCTGCATTTGGTGTACTTTGCTTTGATAAGGCTGCTGCCTGCTTAGAGCGTGACCATATCTTGCGTAGAGTAATCTTCCATCTTGGCCGATTATCATTATTTCTTGATATGATTGTTCCGCTTATTGGCACTTTGTATTTCATCGGCAATTTTCCCTTCGCGTTTCCTCCACTATCCTTTCTCACCTCATTCTTGCTTAGTAGATTAAACCTATCAGTTTCATCGTTACACTCGTTCATTTAACTATACCTTTAGTTGTACGCATAACTGCTCTCGCAATATCTGATTTCAATTTGCTCACCACGAAACATCCAACTGGATATCGGATAGACGCTTTGTTTTTTCCTATATATATATATATATATATATATATATATATATTTGCAACAGTCTATGAATAGACATTGCACCATCGGAAACCATGGAACTCAAAACAAGGTACAGAAATAGTAAAAGAAAACACAACACAACAATGTCCACGGTTTCGTCAGAGGGCGAAATACTACCCGGTTGCCCAAGCCGAAGTAGGGTGTTGACTTAGGGGACACCACCCCGAGCCTTTGGCTGAATAGCCTGTCCGCAAGGCAGCGGAGCGAATTCAGGGAATCGCGCCCATTGGGAGCCGGTGACTGATTGATCAGTTCATACGCCTTTCGTTTGTTCCTTTGCCAAACAGGGGCCCAATGCTCCCCGAAATTACAGCATCAACTTGCTGGAATACAATGCTTCGCCAGGATGAAGCAAGGGGCAGTGACTTTATTTAGTGGCGAGTCACGTCCGCCACGTCACAGTGTTGTTAAACGGACATATGTGGCTTTTTATAGGGAGAACGCTTGCCAGGCGAAAACCCACCACGTCCTGGAACACTGCCGCCGAACCATTTGCTGGAACGGGAAAATCCCGAACCACCCAGCTGGCACCACGAGGAGGTTGTTCGGCAAGCCAGCCTTGTTTTTTCATAACTCAGCACGAAATCCGCTCATTTCTCGCAATAATGGTATTCATTTTTCGTAGTAATTGGATCCGTGAACTGATCATAGTCGTTTAACTTTTGTATTTAGCGGAAACTCACTGTGTACTCCTGAGCATAACTGACAATGGCCTGACTAGATTTACCTTAATAAATCATCTGTGTGATCAAACTATTTTTGTCGCACTTTGGAGATGCAAGCATTGCATGGTGCCGTGTGACATTGTGTTCCAACTCTTATAAAACAAACATACAACCCGAGACCGTAACCTAAATTGTGAACCAATGCATGCGGCAGATGGTTGTCCCTCTCCCGCAGTATCTGTAATGCGACAGCTCCTTGGTTGCAGTTAATTTATTTGCAGCTAGTGACATTGGCCCATTTCATTCACTTTATTGAATTTTCGCAACAGGAACTCCTTGACTTCTACCCATACTCATGTTCTTCTACCTACAAAACATGTGTACTTTCCGCAGCGGATCCAACATCACCCGGGAGGTCGGTTGGGTCATATTTGATGAGATCCATTACCTTCGAGACAAAGAACGTGGTGTAGTCTGGGAAGAAACCATAATCTTACTTCCGGACGTCGTCGGTCTTGTATTTCTCAGTGCTACTATCCCCAATGCTAGACAATTTGCCGAATGGATCGTTTTCTTGCACAGTCGACCATGTCATGTAGTCTATACGGATTACCGACCTGTTCCACTGCAACATTACGTGTTTCCATGCGGCGGAGATGGCATTCACCTCGTCGTCAACCAGAAGGTTAGTACGTGACCAATTCAACAAATTTTGTGGCATCCTATAATACTTTAAACTTATGCTTCGGTGCTATTTTAAGGCGTGGTAAAGTTTTAGTTTTTATGTTATTTTGGGCTTGCAGGCATCACTACAAGTACAAAACACCGCAGTTCTAACTAATTTTACTCCGCTTTTGATAGACAACAGCCACCTACTACGGCCGAGCAAGACGGATATTTACACGACTGTCAACTGAGCTGAAGCACATGATGATCACATTCTTATACGCATCCGCATAACTCCTACTTTGCCGGTCACAATGAAGCGCCCAACTCTGGGGTTTCTGACTCTTTAACTTAACTCACATTCCACAATTTGGCTATGTCAAGCTGAATTGGCTTATCGCATGTCCCTGATGACCATAGCGAATGGGCCGGATGCCGATTGGGATCACTTCCACATCGGCAGATGTGATTTTCAAATCCGCCCCATTCCGAGTTGTGAATGTATTTCTAAATTGCCGATTAGTTCGATTTGAGTACACAACTTAATTCTGTTGGTGTTTCTACTCCGGCGTGCATGAAACACCCCAAAGTGGCACCTAACTACGATTTCTTGGGTGGCGATAACTCATCAGCTAGCGACACTGAAGGAGTGCCATGGAAACCGCAGATGGTATCTTAGCTTACCCTTGGTAGGTGTCTAAGAATGATCAGACTTAGACAATGATTAATGATAATGAACAGTTGGCTATTCTCAGACCCATCAATTACGCTGTTTGATTTCTTATTTTGAAAAGTAGTTCGCCTGACTTACATCTCGTCATCATGTACCGAACTTAGATCAGCATGGGGAATTGTTGTCCCACACCATGCATTCAGTGTGATCCATGTGAGCTCTCTCTGTCGAAACGGTAAAAGAGCACCTAGATCCGGGAATATTTTGTTATTATTGCATAGTGAAAGTATTTAGTTGGCAATAGTACATCCGGCTAGGTGAAACTCCGTGGTGGCTTGTCAGTGACACTGATTGAGTATGAGGAAGCTCACCGGAAGGTTGGGTCCAGTTGGTTTTTGCCTTTCAGAACGGGGCCATCGGGATCGCCCGCATCTTTGTTTGAATATCTTATTGCGCATGACGCAGACCCGAAGTAAATATCGCTCAGGCATCCATGTCCTACTTTTTGTTTCTTAACTATTCCATTTGGCCTTGCTTTTACTTATTTCCTGTTTCCTTAGTATTATTATTATTATTATTATTATTATTATTATTATTATTTTATTATTATTATTATTATTATTATTTTGCCGACCTGAGTCAAGGTGATCTGGTCAATCACACCTCATTGGTCTAGTCGTTCTGTTCGTCCCTACATGGATCATTGTAAAGGTATTATCAGACTGGTGACTATCAGCCGTGATCGAGGCACTGACCATATTGCCACCGTTTTCAGACTATCCAGCACTTTGTCCACTTGTGAGAATCGATTTGAAGAAAACCAGATTGGTTTCCGCCTCGGGCAAGACCCCATGATCATATATTTACACTCCGTAAAGCGCATGAATAGCGACACACCTACACATAAACCACCATCGGGATTTTCTAACCACAAGAACGCCTTCGGTATGGTTGATTGCATGAGCTTTTACTACCATCTATCCTTTGTCACGCCTTGACATTATTTGTCTTTATGGACTGAAACGATATCTGTACTGCCATACAGTTTCACCGCTGCCGTATCCCAACCAACTGAACATGTGCAGAGCTTTGGTTCGTTTCTTTGAGCGATCTTGAGTTTATATGTTTAACCTTTGACTATGATCCTTGGGAACCTCTACAATCCGTTTATCAGCAAGTGTGAGAGGAGATTGAACGCGATTCAAATTCTGCACCTGACAAGCAGATTTTAAATGTAATTTTTGTACCAGTGCGATTCCTGTAAGAAACATAGTCGGTTTTGGCACTTATGCTTAACTTCTTTTGAACCACTGGACAACTATAAAAGGTAACTGAGCTTACTGCGGTCGTTCAAAGCAATCTTCTATTTAATTTCCGTGTTTCTACGCCCCTGATATGATCCCTATGTGCTTTCCGAGGCCTGGGTAAGGTAGAGGCTACAAACCTACGATTCCAAAGCATCAGCTTTATATTTCACATGATGTATGATGTTGCGGTTGCTCGGTTTGTTGAACCGTGTTATTTTCTATTTTTTGTGCTCTACTTTACCTCGTTATTTCCAGCGCGAATTTCTCGAATCCAATTTCAATGCAGCCTTGAATGTTTTACACAAAGCCGCCGGAGAAGCGTCCAGCGACATGGAAATGCGGGGCCGCCGCTCTGGAAGCATTCGTGAGTTTACCAAACCTTTCTACGTGTTTATTTAGCCGTCTTTAGTCCCCTATTCTGTCGACTTAGTCGAAGTGTCCTTAAGCACCGCTTGCTGACCATACCTTTCGCATTGTTACCAAATTGCAAATCTACCTGATGTCGCAAACTGTAATACGTACAATTTCGGCCCACTTTTTTAGGCTACATTGCGCTCCTGTTGACTTTGGATAACTGGTTTACGTTGTCATGTGGCCGTCTGTTTCACTGCGGAACGACGTGGTGTGAACCAGTCCTGAAGTGCAGCACGATACAGACTCGTGGTGTCATTTGTTTTAAAACCCACTCCCATGACAGCGTTTTACTTCATGGGCTCCCGATGTTTCGTGGTAGTCTTTGTTTACTTCGTACATTACTAGCTTGCACGCGTATAGTTGGTGAAATCCGATTCCGGAGTCGCCTGTCACAGCGGCCTCCATAGGACAATCACAGGACGCCTACGCCTACACAGAGATCACGAGCGGATTGCGCTGCACCACCCACAGCTCCAACAACGCACCCCATATCCAGTGTAAACCTGAAGGAATAAGACCGGGGAACATATGGATGTAAGCCAAGTTCCAGCAAAGAAGCCGGCCCCCGCTCTTCTAACATGCACAGCCGCAGCATTCTTGTCTATGCTGGGAATCAAATGTACACAAGGCGGTGGCTGGGCTCCACACTGGATGGCACCGCTGTTTGAGCCTAGCACGACCACGAGGACCGTGCAGCAACTATTCCGTCTTCTGGAGCCAGTAATCGCACGATAGCCGGCTGTTTGTGACGGTATATTGTTAACATAAGGTGTAGGCGCCTTGACCCTGAATGTTTGCTTAGGGCATAAAGGTTTTCTGGAAAGTCCCCTTCTCTCCCTCGCATTATTCTTTATTTCATTGGTCATCATGGATGTATCGCAGCGAAGCATCAGCTCCAATGGCTGATGTACTGCTGTTGTTGATTGATTGAGTCAGTAATCGTGGAGGGTGTTAGACACGTAGACACTCTGTCAACATTCGCATCAAGCGCAGCCACACCGGGGATATCGATCAATAACTGACACGTGAAAAGCGAGAAACTCAGCACTCAGGCAGTGGGTTTCACTGAGCTCCGCAATATCGGTGTGGTAGCGCGCCTGTTCAATCGCGAGCAGTGCAGTGCGTCGCTCGGGGCGCTTACTCGAGTTCCGGTCCAGTAGTATGCAAACGTTTCAGCATCCAATGCTGAGTGCTTTGTGTGCAGGTATACGATTGCATTGGTGGGCAATCGCACGCGAGGTGGCAGATGTGCTTCAGAGGTTTGCTTGAGGGACTCCACCCGGAGTCTTTGGCTCAATAGCCTGACACACAAGGCAGTGGGTGATTTGGAGGTTTGCTTGAGTGACTCCGCCCGGAGCGCCCCGAGCGACGCACTGCACTGGTCGCGATGGAACTGGCGCGCTACCGCATCCATATTGCGGCGCTCAGTGAAACCCGGCTCGCTGAGCAAGGTAAGTTGCATGAAGCAGGTGCTGGCTACACATTCTACTGGGTGCGCAACGCCGCCTCAGCACCACGTGATCATGGGATCGGATTTGCGATATCCGATCGCCTCCATGGCCAGCTGGTGGGTGAACCAACAGGCATCAGCGCGCGACTGATGACTGTTCGCCTACAACTCGGAAGAGGTAAGTTTGCCACTTTTATAAGCACGTACGGTCCGACCATGTTTTAGCATGATGACACGCGTGATCCATTCTACACTGAGTTATCCTCCGTGATACGGTCTGTGCCGAGGAGCGACCGACTATTTCTGCTGAGTGATTTCAGCGCGCTCGTTCGGCGTGATGCATCGGTGTGAACAGATGTTATCGGTCCACATGGCATTGGTTCAGCGAATGCGAATGTTGAAAGGCTGCTCTCACTGTGTGCCACTCACGGCCTGACGATCACGAACACTCGCTTTGCACTGAGTGCGATTGACATAGCAACCTGGACGCACCCACGGAGTGGTCACGCTCACCTGCTCGACTATGTCATCGTACGTCAGCGTGATATGCGTGAAGTGCGCATGACACGTGTACTGCGTGGAACTAAGTGTGGCACTGATCACAAATTGATGCGGACCAAACTGCACATATATTTTGGTAAATATATGTATTGCACTCCCGCCATGAATAGGCGTAAATTTAACATTCTCTCTCGGTACTGTGGCGAAACGTATTGAGCTGGAGAAGGCGATGGCTGCACGCCAGTGTGATGTGGACTGCATAGCGACACTGGGTGACCTGTCTCACTACATTCGCGACCAGGTGACAGCTGCTGCCGAGGAGACCATCGGGCGCGCAAACTGTAAGCGGCCTGATTGGTTTGATGAGAACAATGCGGCAATTGGCGCATTGGTTTCGGGAAAGAATGCAGCATTTGCTGCACATGTGACAGACGCCAGGGACTTGGGGAAGAGTAGTCAGTTTCGCAAACTCCGGCGCCAACGGACCCGAGAGCTCCGTCGCATTAACATGGATGGTGGACGGAGAAGGCGAGGCAGATAGAATGCTACACTGAACGCCGCAAACACAAGGAATTCTTTGACTTCTTGAAGGCGGTATATGGCCCGAGATTGGAGCCGCTGAGGACGCTGATCAATGGTAGCACAGGCGCTACCTGCACACAGACTGCAGACATAATGCAGATCCGGCATAAACACTTTGTCAAAGATTGGCTGGATTACTTTGAACGGCCTCAAGCAACACGATGTGAAGGCGAGTCTGGCGGACACGCCGACACTGGATATGACGCAGGGAGCACTTGCTCAGCTGCGAAACGGCAAGTGTGCAGGGGCCGATGGGATCCCGCCTACATTATTGAAACACCGCGGACTTGCATTGGTGATTGCACTGCACCACTTGGTGCAACACGTATGGATTGAAGAGGAGCTGCCTCCTGATCTGAAGGATGCGCTTGTGCTACCATTGTACCACTGCAATGTTGCACGAATTATCGTGTCATCAACTTGCTGAGTTGTGTGGTCAAGGTGATTGCCCGAATCCTACTGATCCGCCTCGTCTGTCAGGTTGTGGAACCTAACGTGGCGGAAGAGCAATGCGGCTTCCGTTCGGGTCGCAGCACTATAGCTATGGTGTCTGGGGCTCGTTAGTTGCAGGAGAAGTGCAGAGAACGACACCAGCCATTGTACTCGGTTTTTGTTGATTTTACCAAGTCATTTGATACGGTGAACCGTGAGGCATTGTGGCTAATGTTGGGTAAGTTTGTTTACCCATGTAAGTTTGTAGATTTAATTGAATGTCTACACAGTGGTATGCGGGCGAGGGTGCAGCTGAGTGGAGAGACCTCGGATGATTTTGCAGTTGTCTCTGGTGTGAAGTAAGGCTGTGTCTTAGCTCCTGCCCTGTTTAACATAGATCTTCATGCAATGATGTCTTGTGCTTTTGATGCCGCTTGTGCTTACGGTGTTCGTGTGGAGCACCGTATTGATGGTGGGTTGCTGAACATCCGTCGTTTCGGTGCGAGAACTCTAGTCTGTGAGACAACTATCCATGTTACTGTTGGCTGACGACTATGCGTTGTTTGCACACAGCGAGGACAAGTTGCATCACTAGACTATTGCTCTGGTTTCGACAGCGGCGAAATTCGGGCTTACCATCAACACAAGCAAAACTCTTTCAGCCTTCACCGGAGGTGCAATCTTCAATATTGCCGCGAATCGGCATTGGTGCTGAAGTATTAGAAGCCACCTCCCGCTTCTGCTACCTTGGTGATGTGATGTCGACTGACCAGAAGCTACACAGTGAGCTTCCTATCCGCGTGTTGAAGGCAGCGGCGGCTTTCGGGAAGCTAGAGTACCGAGTGTGGAACAAGCATCAGCTTACCATTGGCACGAAGCTGATGGTGTACAGATCCATGGTGCTGTCCGTTCTTCTATACGGCAGTGAAACGTAGACGATGTACCGGCGGGATATACGATATCTCGAGCGGTTCCATTAGCAGTGTTTGCGACGGATTTCGTGCATCGGTTGGTGGGACAAACTTGCGAACACGGAAGTGTTGCGCCTTAGTGGAATGTATGCAGTGAACTGCATGCTGAGACACCTGAGGTGGCTCGGTCATTTGTGGCGTATGGATTCGACGCGGATACCGAAGCAGCTATTTTATGGTCACCTGAGTGTTGGTAAGCGGCATGTTGAGGAAACCAAAGTTACGTTATGAAGACATGATCAAAGTGGGCCTTTCACTTTCTATACTTGATTGCAGGTCATGGGAGTCGGAAGTAGTTGATCGGCGTGCATGGCACGTTCTGATCACAAAGGCAGTTGCCGACGTGCTAGAGAAAGCCCTCATGCATGCAAAGAAGGAGCGGCAATTGCGGGACCGACAGGTGCCGATGGGTTGTATTCCATGGACATCGAGCGCATGGTGCTGTAGCACATGCGGTCGCGAGTGCTTGAGTCAGGGAGGCCTAGTGAGCTATGAACGAGGCCACTCGGGGCGAACACCGAAAGGACGACAAATCCTGTAAGGAACATAGGCTTGTAGGTGCGCTGCATTCGTTTCATTAACCGTGACCTTGCATGCGGAGTCTCTTTATTTCAGGTGATGGATTTGCTATATTATCTTAATGCTTTTTTTATCTCATCCTATTGTCTACCTGAACTATTTTCTATAAACATGCACACGTTGTTTAAGCTGATCGTAGTTAACTTCGTTAACATTTTCGCGTTTGTGGCCTTTACTTAAAATATATTTTCTGACTTCTTGAACATATCGCGGATTTGTTCTTAACCAGTTTATTTTGTACGCTCTTTTATTGAAGAGTTATGTCACCATATCTGTATGCATTATTCGATTTATTTTACTTGATGTCGTCATTTCAAGTGATTGGCTGTTGCTTGGTATCCCGGTGTGGCTGCGCTTGATGTGCATGTTGACAAGGTGCCTACCTGTCTATTACGCACTATCTCCTTCATACTGGCTCCAGGAGACAGTTGGTCGCTGCTGGAGGGGACGGGATGCACGGTCCTTGTGGTCGTGTTAGGCTCGAAGAGCGGTTCCATGCACTCGGTGTGGAGCGGACTACGGTCCAGCCAACGCCTTGTGTGCGCTTGATTCCCCACATACAGCGTGCTTGTGTTTGCCTGTGAAGGAGTGTGGGCCGGCTCCGTTGAGGAAACGTGGCTCCCATCCACATGCCTCCCGGTCTTATTCCTTCGGGTTTACACTGGATATGGGTGTGTGGGTGGAGCTGTGGGTGGTGCAGCGCAATCCACCCATGGTCCCTCTGTAGGCGCAGGCGTCCTGTGGCTGGCCACAGCGACAGGCAAATCCGACACCGGACGCCGTCAACCATGGATATATATATATATATATATATATATATATATATATATATATATATATAATTAGTCGTCACCAAAATGTTAGTGATGCATAAGTGGCCTGTGCGGGCCTCACATCTTATGACGGTTGTGGCAAGCTGTTCTGCACGATCTTCTCCGCTGCCTTGGCAAAAGTGGGTGTCAAACAAATAGGCGTGCAATTTTCTAATTTTTTAGACCTTTTATAATCTGCCTTACTACCGAGCACTTCAAATCATTTGACAAGGATCCTTTGGACAGTGACCTGTTGATCAAGTCGGTCAAGAATGGTGAGATGATGGCCTATAGGTGAAGCCCATCAGGCTCAGTAGGCTTGTTATCATCGAGGTTGGCGATTAGTTGACACACCTCTTTACGTCGCAATCCAAGCTGTCGAGTTCGGTAACTGCGGTACAACTCTGATGCTATGCGGAAACCAGATTATTTGCATGTGTAGACCCTGCCAGACATTGGGCAGTCACGAAGTCAGTGGCGTTTCTGCTTTCGGCTTCTTTTATCTGGTTGTTAATTTTCTTTCCTTTCTGACTAATTTAACGCATTTCTTCCTTGCTTTCATTTTGTATACACTCTATTTGCACCCAATCTCACTATCCTACCTGTGTTTTCGATTGTTATTCTTACGGTGTGGATCGTGACAACTGGATGCGACGCACTTCGGCGCTCGGCTCCTAATTGATCAACTGAACTGAATGTAGAAGCAAAGTGCACCAGAAACGCGGATGCGCGCTTATTACGGGAAGCTATGGGCTGTATGTCCGAGCATACTGGCACTGATAGGTCACTTCTGGCTTCAGGCGTGACTTTCCGTAATCTTCGTAGCTATCTTCGCGGTGGTTAGAAGTTACTCTACGAAATGATGATGTTTGCTCCTTTTTGCACTGTTGTGGATAAGTTTTTGTCTTTTACACGCCTCGTCCTCGACCGAGGCAGAGACCAGGAATTCGTTCAACACCGCCGCCTAACCAGTATACCATATTTCTTGCCATGTTTTCCCATCTAAATGACGCGTCACATGCCTATCCCGTACGAAAGGCACTTACTTGCAGTTGACTGCTGTTTACATGTTTGTGTGTGTGACTGTAGGATCATCATCATCATCATTACACGTTAGCTGGAGGTGGAAAATACCTCAGCTATTGTGCCGCAATACAAAAGACAAGAAAAGGAAAACAGTGGCAAGCCCGCTGAGTCTCCAGTAACGGATGGACCTTGTTCCGGAGAGCTAACAGCTGGCTGCCGTAAAAGAGTCATATTATGCCTAACAAGTGAGATCGTGATTGGAGGCGGATGCTAAACAGGAGGGGGTGGACAAAGGAACTCGCAACACAAACGAGACACGAGGACTTCAAAGAGAAACGGATGAACTGACGTTGTCCACTTAGTTGAACATGGACTTGTCGACTGGATTGGAGCGACACAGTGCGATTGTGTGTGATTTGAAATTAGAAGACAAGCGATTATTGAAGTAAGCTGGGGAAGGGCCAATAATTAGGGGATTGAAAATGGTTGGATATAAGTAAAGTTGGAGCGGGACGATAAGGGCGAAGAAGCCCAAGAAGGGGTATAAGAAGACGGGAATGCCTGAGCAGTAGCATCCAAACCCCTATCCACCCTGCTCGATGCAGCAGATAGGGCGCCGTTTATTATCCTCTGCGACGGCCAGAGTATCAAGAAAGTATTGTAGGGAAGGTTCATTGTATTGCGTGGGCAGAATACTGTCAGGTTGCCCAGGTCTAGACTGGAGAACGATTAGGGTTCTCAACCAAACCCTATGGTTCGAAAACCTTAGCGCAAGGCAGTGGGTATTTGGCACTGGACTACAGAGCCCGTTTTATGAAATGAGGAGCCACCCCCATTCCAACCCCCAACCTGGAGGACCAGGAGGCTGAGTTTGTCTGGCCTCTAACCATTGACCAATCTGGTATGAGTGGCTCTGAAGGTGCAAAAAAGCGCCACCCAGCATAGCTAAATTGATCTCTGAGGCACGCAAACCCTCGCACCACGGTAAGGTTCAGCTTCATTGCGATGGACTGTGGGGGACGGTTGTACGCTTGAACTATCCTTACACACTGTATGTTACACTGACCATACTCGCACCCATGGATGCTTGGTAATTTCTTTGTTCCCTTCGAGGTAACCGTCTTAGGTTGACACTTCGCATTTGACACATTGACTTTGTAGCGAGCACTTGACCTACCCTACCCGTGTGACTTCATTTGGTCTCGGTCCTCTTCATCACCCAGGTCCTCAAACTTATTGCTCCAAGCTAGTGAAACTGGTATTGGACCAAAATTTGGAACCAGTGATTGTGTTCTCCTTTGCGAAAATGGAATGCGAATACTTCGCCACTCAGATGAACCGGATGGATTTCAATACAGGTCAGTGATACACTAGTTGTCGTTATTATAATCTGGTTTGGCCGCATTTCATTTCTACTATTTTCTCATGGGTCAGGGCTTGAGTGCGCATTCCGAAAGCTTCACTTTTCTACCCTATATTATACCGACTACGGGAGAGTATTGTTTTCACGTTTAGTTGTACAACTACACGAGCATATTATTGTATACGAAATTTCTACTTTCTTTTTAAAAACTCACATTTTACCACACGCCTCTGTAGTTATCGATCCATTGCATTTGTTAGTGCCCATTTCGTCCAGCTTTCTCCCCTTTTCTTTACTCAGCGTCAGCGAATTTCTGATAACTCGCTTTATAGACTCGGTATCCATGCCGTAGCAGTACTTGTCCTCACACATGCTGTCTGAATTGAAACTCAAATGTTCGCATGACACTGATGCGCAGGGTGTGTGAGGTTGCTTATCATCAGGACAGCCAATGAGCCAACTACCAAGGTCCGCGCCCATGTGACGGATTTCGTCTTGTGACAGAGCTATTTTAAGACGTCTCTACATCTCTTGATGTGATTATTCTAACTTACGATCTCACTCTATTGATAAAGTAACCAGTCGATTCCCCTTAGTGGGCATTGCTGTGCGTACCACCCATTTGATCCACATTAACTCAAGTGGCACCACTCGCTAACTGACGGAGAGCTCTCAGAGCAAGCACATGCCGGTTTGTTCTTCCATACGTTACGCTCCCCAACTGTTACTTGATTCGAAATTTGTTTCACGCTTTAACAGTGCTGTTTGCCAGCGCTATCTCATCCTCAGTTCCAACGGTCAGTGAGGTGGCACTCAATGTTGTTCGTCTCCTTGTATGCCGGGTAGTTAGGATACCCTTGGTGGTCACATCAAGCAATATATTATCAGCTCTCACTAAGATTCATGTACCATACGACGACCTACCTTACGAACAGACTGAAACGCTAGCCGTGTGTATTAATCATGTGCAAGTCAAAACTTTGTAGGGTCGCTAAGCAATCAGTAGAACATAGCGGTCTGTAACCGATTCTGATTATCTGCGAGTAGGTAGAGGCGTCTTGTACCATACCTGAATTTTTTGAAGCAAACTGGAAGTGTCCACTAAACGTCATTGGCCTAATTCGTTTTCTTGCTGAAACCCTAGTTTGCAGGACACTATTACCACGTGCGGTTAATTTGCTGTCAGTTCGCCCCAATCCGACCATGCTATATAAATTTCGGAAACTACTGATGTGGATAGATTGGATACCATCCTTTCCAGACTTGCCATTTCGCATTTTTCCTCTTTGAGAACTAATTCCGCCCTTTCGGATTGGACTAGCTTTATCAGTGCTCTTAAGACACTGTATCAGTAGGTCTCGAATTGTCTATACATGCTCACTGACTTGACGATGAGGAACTGGAGGCCAGTAACCAATTCACCCATCTTGACAGTTGCATTAAAAGTGATGAATGAATGTGGAATATCTGTGGTACCTGAAGGGGATTTCTTTATATGTGAAAGGCCGCGTACAAATGGCCATACGAAGGTCCGTTCTCTTCTATGGTAATGAGGCTTAGCCCCTTAGATATCTGAGGTTCTCAGGCGCGTTTCACTACATGACCATCTTTGACCGCGGAGCATTGCTGGTATCGGCTGGCACCAGGGTATCCTTCATGATGATGCACGCAGGTATGTATTAGGAGATGCTGGTCGAGTTAGATACTTGATAGATCAAATACAATTTAATGTGTTGTGTTGGCTTTGGCATGTGCCCACTGTGGTCGGTCACCGCTCACTCAGTAGCGGCTTACCTTGTTTGCCGGATGTTGGAATGTTCATTACTCGTGGTGCGCTAAAGTTGACAGCAGTCGAAACCAGACGCTGTGACAGCTGGGCCGAGTACTACTGATCCGCCTCGCCTTCTATGCTGTGGTTCAAGCACCATACTTTGTGCTCGACTCGAAACTTTACATGAAGTGGGTTACAGTCAGCACCATCGTTGTGTTTACTATCATCTCATAGCCAGATTATCTGTGGGTGAGATACAGAGCAGCGAAATGAGGCTGGACCCTACCGTGCTGTGTTGGTTTGCGTGCCTCAGTGATCCATTGAGTTATGCTGCGTGGTGCTTTTTGCACCTTCAGAGCCACTCATACCAGATTGGTCAATGGTTAGAGGCCAGACAAACTCAGTCTCATGGTCTTCCTGCTTGGAGCGAGGGTGACACCTTATTCCTTAAAACGGATTTACTGTAGCCCACTGCCTTGCGGTCAGGTTTTTGGACCAAAGGCTTTGGTTCAGAATCCTAATCGTTCTCCTGTCTAAGACTTGGCAGGATTGCAGTATCCTGCCCGCGCAATACAATGTTTTTACCTCTAAACCTTTTGTTGATGCTCTGGCCGTCGCATAGGATCATAAACGTCGCCCTATCTGTTTCATCGAACAAATGCTACTGCTCAAGCCTTCCCGTCTTCTTATTCCCCCATGCGTTTTTTCACCCTTATCTTCCTGTTCCAATTTCACTTCCCCCTTTTCAATCCCTTACTTCTTAGCCCTCCCCCCACCATGCTTTGATAGGCGTTTATCTTCCAGTTTTAGCTCACATGCAAACGCGGTGCTTCACTCGTGGCTTGTCGACAAGCCCATGTCTTTCCAAGCTGTCAGGCATTTTTCATCGGTTTCTATTTGGTACCCTCGATTCTCCCTCAGATTGGCATATCTCGACGTACGCACATTGTTACAGATTGGTCAACAGGCATCACTTACCGGGACATTAGAAGCCATCTGTTTATCGGAAACCCGCCTTGAGCTCTATGCCCAGTTTTCTATCATCTTCAGCTGACACTAACAGTGTCTCTTTGCGCATATCCGGAAACGATAAATTTTCGAGTGCCGGTCAAGCCGATGTTAGTGTTCCACTGAGTCCCCGGGCTGAAGCTGCTCTTTTTGATAGGGTCCCAATCAGTAACCGGATGTGTGTTGTCCGATTGGCTGGCTCGTTCAAAGCTTCGAAGTCGCGCGAAACTAACAGGTGTCTGTCATTACTGCTTTTAACCCCACAAGTTGTAGCGCTAACGCAGTAAAGCACGACTTATATGACCAACTGAACAAGCTCTTTCGCCATAGAAGGAACACGGACGCTCTAGTTCTGGCTAGAGATCTGAACGCTCAAGTGGGCAGATTGCCCACTGATGAGCTGCATCTGGGTGACCAACACGCTGTAGGGTCCCGTAATGATAACAGTGAGCGGTTACTTCATTTTTGTGAAGACACTCGCCTATTTCTTGCGAGCACGAACTTCCGATACAGAACCTGTCGGAGGGTGATATGGCGTCCACCAGCCTTAGATTAGATTTGGATGCAAATCGATCACATCGCGATCATTTACCGCTGGAGAGGCTGCGTCCAAAACTGTCGCTCGATTTGGAACACATGTGTGGACACTGACCATTCTTTTGTATGTGCTGATCTGCGGGTGCGTTTTGGCGGTCTCCGTCAACAACCCTGTGAGCGCATTGACACCAGCCAACTGACGAAGCCAGATGTTCTGTATGTGTATCGAAGTACCCTGGCACTCTGGTTGTACAAACGCTCACCGAATACACTTGAGGGTCACTGGTCGCATGTTCATCAGATCTTATTATTAACAAGTAGATCCTCATATACTAAATCGAATGGCTAACGTGAACATTGGGTCTCTACGCCTACGTGTTCTGGCTGGAACCAGACACAGTGAGGCTCGCAAAGACAGAGCAAAACTCCGTGCCAGCCTGAAGAGAGACTGCGAATGCTGGCGTTCTAATCGTGCGTAGGGGATGAAAGTGACCGCTGCGCTTGGTAACCTTCGGAAGTTATTCCGTATGCTAAGGGAAATAGGCAGCAGAAGACGTGGTGTTAGTGAAACTATACGTGATGTGGGTGGACAGCCTATCCACAGCACTTGGATTGTTGGGCTGCTCACTATGAAAGGCAATTTACTTGTCCGGATTTGTTAGATTTCTCACCGACTAGCGAGCACCCTGCTCCATGGGCTGTCCCTTTGGATGCACCTCTCTCAGAAGTCGAACCTGAGATCGGATTGCTTAAGTTGAATAAGGTCGCGGGACCAGATGATCTTCATCCAGCCTACTACAATTTCGGGGGCCCTGATCTTGTTACTCATTTACACGAGTTACTAGTGAAACTGGCTGCAGGAAATTGTCACAACCGACTGGGGCTGCTCTGTCAGTTCTAATTTTCAAGCGAACCTCACGTTCGGCTTGCGGCAACCATAAAGGAATCGGTCTGATCTTAATCGTCTTTAAGTTACTTGTCTTTGTCATGCTTCACAGATTGACTGCAGAATGTGAAGGCTAGCTTCGAGGAGAGCAAGCCCGGTTTCATCGAGATCGCACTGGATCGATCACATTTTCACTTTATGCTAATTGTTGGAGCACCGTCATACATATTAGGGCCCACCGTTGTTGTGTGCGTCGACATCAAAGGTGCCTTTGATTCGGTGGATCCATATGGTCTTTAGGACTATCTGCTAATGGAAGGTGTGCTTGAGAAATATGTACATATTATCCGAGTGCTTTACGCGCGTAGCTCGGGCAGAGTGAGGTCTTATGGCAAGCTGTCGCCACCCTTCATTATCTCCAGCGGTGTGAGACAAGGATGCCAGCTGTCACCTTTCCTCTTTAAATTCGCTATTGATGAAGTCATGGAGATCGGGTTCACTGAACACGACTTAAAAAATATCGTGCTGCTCCAAATGAATGACTTTTTGACTTGGAATATGCTGACGCCATTGCTCTCATCTGTGATAGCTCACAAACGTGCCAAGCAGCACTAGCCAGATTAGCACGCTGTCAGCCGTTTCGTGCTTAGCCTTGCACCCTCAAAGTGCAATGCTTTCCTCCAAGCTTGGCAGGGACCGCTTCCTGCGCTGACCCGTGGTGGGAACCAGCTGGAAGTCGTTCAAAGATTCAACTAACTAGGCAGTTGTATCAGCACCTTTGGAATTCCAGATGAGATCACGAAACGTATAGCAAAAGCTCGAGGCGCTTTTGCTAACCTTCGCCACCTACGGCGCAGGCGCGACATAACTCTCTCCTTGAATGGTGGATTGTATATGGAGCGGTACATTCACCCCCTACTGTACGGTTGTCAAAACTGACCCATTAGATCGACAGATATAAAGTGCCTAGCTAACTTCGACCACCTGTGCCTTTGCAGTTTGGCACACCTCTGGTGGGAAGACCGTGTGGGCAACGAGCGTGTTCGACACCTTGTTTATGGCACAGGAAGAGGAAGTGAACGGCTCAGCACCGTTATTTCACGCACCAGGCTCCGATGGCTGGACCAAGTGTTGCACATGCCAGCCCGCCGGCTCCAGCGACGTGCGTTATTTGCACGCCGGGAGTGTGAATGGGTGCAGGGGAGAGGTGGCCAATCGATGACTGTGTCGAGAGAAATCAAGGCCCTGACTTCGAAACTGGCCTCGGTTGGAGCGTCTCGGCTGCCTGGTTGGGGTCCGAAAAATAACGGTCACGTTTGGCTGGATGCATTTGTTGACATGGCTAGGAACCGACATCAATGGCGTTTGTGTTGTGAGTATTTTTGTCCCCCCTCTCGCTTAGTCTCCTCCTCTCCAACCGCTATCTCATTTCTTAGGCATAATGTGACTATTTTATGCACAATAGCCGGCTGGTAGCTCTCCGGAACGATGCCCTTCTTTCACTGGTGGCTCGGTTGGCGTACTTCTGTTATTTGTTTTTCTTATTCTGATGTATTGTGGCATAATAGCTGAAGTGTTTTGCGCCATTAGCTAACGTGTATAATTATGATTTTGCTGCTGAGAAATATGCAAGCAAATTATCCGACTGATGCCACCCCGCAAACTGCCGAGCTGTTTTTAATCCTGTGTCGCTGACATGGGGTATGCACCTTGGTGCTGAATGTTTTCCTATGGCATCTAGGTTTTACGATGGGGTCCTCATTTTTCCCGCTCGTTATTCTTCACTCCCTACGTCGTTGTGGGTGTGTGCAGCGGCAAATCAGTTCCACTTACTGATGTGCCGCTGTTGTTACGGATAACAAGAATGAAGTCCACTGAGCATTACATCAAATTGAGGCGTTTTTTCTCTTCCGTCGCCAAAGCTGGTGTTGACATGCTGTTGATTTGTGACTATCTGTGCATTCGCGCTTTACTCTGTGCGGCGAGACTGTACGCTAAGGTGTGGCGATTGCTTGCTTTGCGTTCCATGTGCTAGATTCGGTGTCATTTTCCGACTGATTTCAAAACGCTTACATCAGACGAATTAGGGTTTAGGCGAACTCTTACCCAGCAGTTGGAAATTATTCAATGGCTTCTTTTATCCAAAATACCAGTCTCGAGAGCCAACATTTCGTAGAGTAGAAGTTCGACTGGTGTGGTGCATACAGGCGGTCTTCCTACATTCTAAGTGCTTCATTAAACCAATTTTACATTTTATTAGATATTCGTACAGCGTCCTATTTATATCTGCCCAATACAGTGGTATTTCCTGGCCCGGAAACTGCCCCCAATGCAGTTGCCCCGCTTGCGGCTCCTCATGGCCACCTTATTCCTTTCTGAATCAAGTTTATTTCCCTATGGACGGGTCTGTTAGATCTTCAAGTTTCTTCCTATTCCGGATTAAACACTCAAAATTCTCCGTAAGAATTCTAGCGCAGCCGAAGGAAAATCAGAAGTCCAACGATCTTGACCGAAAAAAACTTCCTAACCAAAAAATGCCGCTGTAACATCGCTAAACGCCGGCAAAACGCTGTACAACTCCGCCAGACCTACACCAAATTTATAGGTAGCTT